CACCTGGAAGGTGAAATTATTCAGTTGCAGAATACAGTTCAGTGGCTGGGAGACCAAATTCAGGTTTTGACAACTCAATATTTTTTCCATTGTGATTGGAATTCTTCCTGTTTTTGTGTCACTCCTATTCCTTTCAATAGTAGTTGACATTGAATGTTATTACGAAAATTGTTAAACGGAGGCCAAAACCTAACTGGCAAACTCCAAAAATTAATACAAGAAATCACCTCTGCTTTTCAAGACAATCTGCCATATTTTAATAATGATGAGTTCCTTTCTGGCCTGGCAAGAGGATTGTCGCAGGCCTACTCTTTGGCTTCATTAAAAATGATGCTTAGTAGTATTGGGAATAATTTGGGTGTTCTCCTCCTTGTATTATGTTTTTTGCTCTTAATCTACAGGTGCTGGCAAAAAAGGCAAGCAACTCAGCAACAGCAAAAATAAAATGTCATGGCCGTGTTCCAGTGTGTTCACCTTCAAAATTAAATAAAATAGGGGGAGATGTAGGGGACTGACATTATATATTCCTAGTTTAAGAATTAAATTTAGTGAGTAATGTACGGGCTCTACTCAGAGTGTTTGAAAGTAATGTGTTCCGGACAGGGTCTCTGTGATAAACAAGGTGTTGCCTAGAGGCATAACAAAGGACCTGAGCTGCAAGTAAGCAAGAGCTGCCCAGCCCCAAGGCAGTGGGGGTCTGGAGGCCACATGATAAATACATTGTTCCTCTGAAGGCTGCTTAAGCCCCTTAAAAATGGATGGCTACTCAATGATGGATAAGACCCCTCAAGGGAGGGGTGACCTAAGCCAGGCACAGCTGCAGGGGATCAGCCTAAGAGAAACTGGGGGCGAGAAATGCTCCCTGTGGCTGCCTTGCCCATCCTTGCTAATCTTGATGCGTGATCTATGCCTGGTGCCTAGAGCAACCACCTGGAAACCTTGAGTAGGGGACATCTGTGTCCTTAAGGCTATGTGTTCCAGAATTTATGGCCATTGCTGCAATGCCTGGGTGGTAATGTACAAGGAAGTAACTTCAATTTTTTAGAGTATAAAAATATAACTTACCCAGTGTATTAACACTCAAGTCAACCATCTTTGTATGTGTCTCTGTGTTTTCTTCTGTGTTCTGTGTTCGTCCTCCATCCTGTAAATAGGCCACAGCACTGCGGTTTTAGGAAAGTGTACAATCGGGGGGGGGGGATGTCTTTTAAAGGATACATTATTTCTGCTGGGTAGAAAGAAAAAATTCAAGAGATATACTGTATACAGCATGCTTAATGTCTTATTGTATTGTATTTTTAAAATATGCTGAGAGAGTCAATGATAAGTGTTCTTCACCACAAACATGATAAATATGGGAAGTAAAGCATCTGCTAATTAGCTAGAATAAGCATTAGACAGTGTTTGTGTGTGTGTGTGTGTATGTACTTCAAAACATCACATTTTACATGATAAATACAAATAATGTTATCTGTCAATTACAAGAACAAATCAGTAAAATCTTTGAAGTATAGCACTGTTCCAAATACTGAGCCTGGATCTTTGTCATGAGCTTAGCTGAACTGTATCAAAAATATAACATTTTAGTGCTGTTTTTGTCATTCCATTTGTCAATCATAAGCAAGGAAACTCTGATAATTACCAACAGATTCATAATCCAGCACAGAACATGAAAGGGGCTTAGACGATTTTATTTGAAGATAAAGATGCCTGTAACTTCCTCGTGCTGATTATTATGGTATAGAAGACACTAAAGAGGTATGTGGTGCTGACTGTCCTACCTCTGGCCACTGTGAGAACAGAAAACAGAATTTGGATTGCATCCCAAATCACTGATGAAATTTTCAATCAAAAACTGCCATAATCCCTGAGATTCCGAGAGTCAGTGACCAAACTGTTGGCCACAGTTAGATGACTAAAAATGAAAACGGTGTGTTGCACACTGCACTCATTAAAATGAAAGAAAATAGAGTCATGTAAAATAAATTCTCTATGATTGAAATATCAGATAAAGAAAGATTATTCCAACTATTTTCAATCCACAGAAATCATTCTATTATATTCTAACAATGAAAATACATACTCATAAGTAGATTCTAGATGGATGCCTATGTTGTACTATAAGTAATTCACAGAAAATTATATTCAAACTTATTTATTTACCTAAACTCTCTATTAAGAGAATGCCAAATTCTCATTTTTCTGTATATAGTATTTACCATATGCATCACACACTAATTAATGCTTTACTTATTGTAATTATTTTCATATTTATGATATTATATGTTAGGATGTAATAACATTTTGCTTTTACAAAGCAAACAACACTGCATTCTGGATTTAATCCTCTGGCACTCAGAATTGATTATCTTTCTTTGGACTTTAAGGCTCTAACTTTAACCTTAGGACACTGAATCTCTCTAATCTTAATTAAATAATCAGAATGCTGTATGTATAGCCTATAAATGGTCTCAAGCTCTCTAGTTAAATTTTTTTTTTCACCAAATTAAAAAAATTCTACACTTCTCATCAGAACTTTTAAAGTACTGTGTGAACTGGCTAGGGGTGAGTACAGCAGTGAGAATATTGCAGTCCAAGCACAGGTGGAAAGAATGGCTTAGATACAGTTGTAGAAGGGAATGATGATGAAACATAGCAAAAAAACTGGAGATAATTATGAAATGAAAGCAGCAGAATTTCCACTTAGAAATTCCGAGAGTTGGTTGTTCTGCAGATCTCTTCACTCCACGTGCAAAATCAGTGACTTTTTTTTACCCTGGACATTATAAATCTCTTCTCTGGAGCCACAAGCTTACTACCACAGAAATATTGACTGCTAATTATGAAACATCTATTACATATCTAACACTGTCCTGTACTTATTTCATCTATTTAAATATAAAAAACCCCATAACTTATAAATCCTTCTTACTATTTACTGGAACAAAGTAGCCTGATAAAGTCAATAAATCAATTAGTTGAACAACCAAACGTAAAAGAAACAGTAACCAAAAAGTGCTTTCAATATGCTTCCCAAATTAGTATCAAAATATACAATGTACTAAGTAAAATGAAATTACTGCAATGTGGAATTACTCATACCTTCAGATAATTTTATGGGCACCATTAAGTTTTATAATAATCCTTGTTGTAACTGCAGATCAGGTCATATAAATGATACTTAATGAACTTTGAAATAATAAAATAACATACTAGGCCTAGCAAGAATAATAAGCATTTAAGAACAGAGGATTGGCATGGGCAGGTTCCAATTCAGAAGCTTTAGGTTTTTAAACAATTAATTCAACGTAAAGCAAACTGTTTCCTTTCAGAATCTTTGAAGTTTCTAGTTTGCTAGTAAATTCTCAACACATTTAAATTACCTATTTTTACTAAAATTTCTTCTTTTTTGTTCAAAATAAGTATACATCCACATTCACACAAACATAATTACTTACTCTGTAAATATACTACAAATATAGTTCCACTTAACTGTGATGTATTTGTATATTTGATTCAATATAAATAAAAATTATGGTTTTTTCTGTTTCACTGGCCAGGCAGGTTGCATGTTGAAAGAAAAATGTAGGATAGAATGTAATCACTAGTCATTCTGTGTTCAGAAATGTATAGCTTTTCATTAAGTTCAAAATCTTTATTATAAGCATTGCAGTAACAATGTAATTATAAATGTAATTTAAAAAAGCACTGGGAACATTATTCTTCAAAGTAGAGCCACCGATAAAAAGGATCACAAATGATGTCATTTCACTGTGTAACCCAACAGTACATTTTTACAATTGATTTCCTCCAACTTTGAGTAACATGGGATAGGTTAAAGTTGGTGCAAAATAACAGTTCATTCAATCTACAACATTTTTGACACATTAAAATTATTTTTAATTTAATGAAACAAATTAAGTTTACATGTAGTCTAAAAATATTCCCAATTTCATTCTATTTTATTATCATAATGTGCAATACTAACACAAGTTATTTTTAATATCGTAATTTTTTCATTCCGATTATAATGAGAAGAATATTAGTCTGTATACCTACATCATACATCATTTAAAATACTCTTTTTTATAAGAAAATTCCACAGTACCTCTCCATCTCATAAATCTTACATTTCGGTGTTTTTAATTTTCCATGGAAAAGAATATGTATAATGCCCGCTTAATACAAAAAGGCTTCTAATAAATGTGATGTAGCTATCATTAACCACACACATATTCACATACACGCTAAGAATGAAAGAATACCATCTACTGTATATAAAGTTGAATAACATCAGTATGTGCATGTCAAAAATAGCAAAAAAGTATACTTTATTACATTTTACCCTACCCTGACAAAAAGTGTATTTTACATGTAATTATAACTCTAAAAAATCTCTCTCTTTTTAAAGCTGACAACAAATAAATCAACTATTTTAACTGTGTTGTTCTCTATAATAAAAAATCTGGTATAAAGAAATGTGAGAATGTGTTGGTGACTCAGTGCATTGCCCTGTGAGAACTCTGATATCTGTTTAGACTTGAGTCTTCTTGAAATGCGTTCTGAAACTTATTATAACTGAAGAGTAGTTTTAAGTATCAATTCTTTGTTGTTCTCTAAGGTATACCTTTTGTATAAATATTTTTCACATTCATTATATTTGTAAGATTTCTATTCTTTAAACTTTCTGTGATGTTGAGCAATGTTTGAGAAAATATTGGAACATTTCTTTCAGTGTAAGTTCCCCCATGTCCAATAAGATGTCTGCTATAACTAAAGGTATTGTCAGCACTCTACATTATTATAGTTTACTCAAAGTACTGTTGTGCATTTTAAGGCTAATACTTTGCATAAGCACTTCCATACTCATTACATTTATCTAATTTTTATCTAGTATGATTTCTTTAATGTTTAATAAGATTTGAACAGTTATTTAAGACTTTGCCACAATTTTAACATTCGTAGAACTTTTGTCTTATATGAATTCTTTTAATTAGATTTAGGATGAGTGCTGGGAAAATGCTTTGCCACATTCCTCACATTTGTATGGTTTCTCTCCTGTATGGATTCATTTATGTAGAGTGAGGTCTCTTAGCCAGATAAAGGCTTTGCCACATTCTACACATTTTTAGGGTTTCTCTCCAGTATGAATTATTTTATGTGTAGTAAGGGTTGAGGACTTGGTAAAGGCTTTTCCACATTCTGCACATTTGTAGGGTTTCTCTCCTGTATGAATTCTTTTATGTTGAGTAAGGTGTGTGCACCGGGTAAAGGCTTTGCCACATTCTTCACATTTGTAGGGTTTCTCTCCAGTATGGGTTCTTTTATGTTGAGTAAGATGTGTGTACTGGGTAAAGCCTTTGCCACATTCTTCACATTTGTAGGGTTTCACTCCAGTATGAATTATTTTATGTTGAGTAAGGTGTGTGAACTGGGTAAATGCTTTTCCACATTCTTCACATATGTGTGGTTTCTCTCCCATATGAATTCTTTTATGTACAGTAAAGTTTGTACACCAGGTACAGGATTTGTCACATTCTTCACATTTGTAAGGTTTCTCTCCAGTATGGATTCTTTTAGAGTAAGGGTTGAGGACTGGGTAAAGGCTTTGCCACATTCCTCACATTTATAGAATTTCTCTCCTCTATGAATTCTTTTAGGTTGAGTAAGGTGTGTGCACTGGGTAAAGGCTTTGCCACATTCTTGACATTTGTAGGGTTTGTCTCCACTATGGATCCTTTTATGTTGAGTAAGGTGTGTCCACTGGGTAAAGGCTTTTCCACATTCTTCACATTGGTATGGTTTCTCTCCCATATGAATTCTTTTATGTAGAGTAAGGTTTGTACACCAGATAAAGGCTTTGCCGCATTCTTCACATTTGTAGGGTTTCTCTCCACTATGGATTCTTTTATGTTGAGTAAGGTGTTTGCAATGTGTAAATGCTTTGCCACATTCTTCACATTTGTAGGGTTTCTCTCCAGTATGGATTCTTTTATGTTGAGTAAGGATTGAGGACTGGTTAAAGGCTTTGCCACATTCGTCACATTTGTAGGGTTTCTCTCCAGTGTGAATTCTCCTATGTATAATAAGTTTTGAGCAACAGTTAAAGGATTTTCCACATTCTTCACACTTGTAGGATTTCTCTGTCGTATGAAATTTCCTATGTCCAGATACATTAGAGCTGTGATTAAAAATTTTGCCACATTCATTAAGTTTGACACTTTTCTCTCCAGTATATCCTGTCTTCTGTCTATTTAGATTTGATGATTTGCTAAAAACTTTTATACATTTATAACATTGGAAGATTTTTCTATGGCAACTTGACAGACATTGGGTAAGACCATTAGAACATACTTTCTGCTTCTTACACTCAACCACGCAATCCCCATCTCTTTTTAAGTGTACATTTTCAAGGCCATAGCTTCCATATAGTCTCATTATTGATTTCTGAAATGGGTCGTTTATGCCCTGCTCTGGCAACATGTCTTTGGTGCAATGGGAAGACATTTCTGAAAGAAATGAAAATAACAAAGTATCTCAATAACTAGACTCAGGTGAATATACTTCACAATTTGAATATATAAAAGTATAGAAAGCACATTAGCAATAAAGCACAATAGAATACCATGGTATTACTTCCATCATAGATGTATGACCTTAAAAATATACTTACAACCATGATTCTTTTAGAAATTATAACTGCTAATTGTTCATAGCAACCCAAATTTGAATAACACCAAGAACCACATGGAAGGGGAAGGAAACTTTGTTGCATTTACCCACCATAGCCCTTCCTCCATGCTGATACTGAGTTATCACTTTAGTAGAGAAATCCAATCTCCTGGATTTCCTATCAAAAGAGAATGAAACTATAGGCACATGTCCACACGTCTTTTTTTTATAGCCTTTCCAAAGGATGGTTTCTATCTTCCATGACAACTACATAACTCTCTGGGAAAAATATGCACCTATCAAGAATAAAATTCTCCATTATCATAATGTTGGTGTAAAATATTTAATTATGCTATAAAATTTGAAAGGCAAAATAAAAAATGATCATTTCCATGTGTTAATTTGTATACATTATAAAAAGACATAATTATTAACATCAACATCATAAAGGTGAGGGCAGATGTAAAGATTAAGAATTTTTGTATGCAACTGAAGGTAAGTAGTTATCCATTTAACATAAGTTGTAATTTCAAAAGATTATGTAGTTCTCAAAGTGAACATAAGAAAAAATGTTTATAGAGATAAAAAAAGAAAGCCAGGCAAAGAAACAAAATATGTCACTCAAAATCAGTGAGGTACAATGCAGAACAGAAGGAAAGGAAAGAAAGAAAAGATAGTGACAAAGTCATATAAAACAATTAACATTATATAAATTGTAAATCCTTCCTTTGAAAAGATTATGTAAATATTTATGTGCTAGTGTTTCCAGTCAGAAGACACAGTTAAATAAAGGAATTTCAAAAATCCAACTATATTCTATCTAAAGCGACTTGACTTCATACCTGGTGAGAACAATAGACTAAAACTGGCAGGATATAGCAAGATATATCAGAAAAACATTTAGCATCAAAGAGCAGTGGAGTTCAAAATTATATTAGGCACATTATTTTAAAGTGAAAAACGTTACAATTTTTAAAATATACTTTAAGTCAAAACTGTCACAAGAGACAAAAAGGGCAATAAATATAAAAAGTGGTCATTCACGGAGGGCCTTGAAAATAATACATTTATATGATATCTATCTTTATCTCACATCAAGGTTCTCAAATATATTTTTAAAAAGCATTGACAGAAATGAAGCAAGAAATGGACATCAAAATAATACGATACTTTGATATTCTATTCCACTTTCAATAATAATAAAACCAGTCAAATTATTAATAAGAAAACAAAAGATTTGAAAACACTACATAGCAGTTAGACCTAACAGATATAGTAGAAACACTCTACAGAATAATAGTAGAATACACAATCTTCTTGATAGCTCATAAAACGTTCTTCCTAAAAAACTACCTGTTCAGCCACAAGTCTTAACCAATTTTAGAAAATTGAAATTTTACTAACATTAATTTTTGACTAGAATGGAATGAAACTGAAAATAAATAATAAAAGAAACATAAAAAAATTCACAAATATAGGAAAATAAACAACACAGTCTTGAATACATTGTTTTTCAAGGGAAGAAGACCTAATGTTGTGAAGATGTCCAGATTGGTCTACACATTAAATGCAATTCTTTCAAATTCTCAATTTCAGTTTTTGAATAATGGAAACAGCACACTCTTCCTTCAGGAGTTTCATTAAATGTAAATGGTTTAGTCTCTCCAATGAAAAATAAGATGAATGTATGAATAAAAAACAAACAGAACCCTAGTATATGCCACCTACGAAATCCTTCCTTTAGCTCTAAAAAGTCAAATGATTGAAAGTAATGTAAAAAATTCTACATAAATAAGAATAGGAGGATATTGTGGCCATAATTAAATAAAATACACTTTAAGTCAAAACCATCAGAAGAGACAAAGACTTTTATAATGACAAAATGGGTCATTTAGGAGAAATCTATGGCACAGAATACACATAGACAGATCATAAACATGTAATGTACATATTTTAGCTTAGATATTTTTAAATATATATTATTTATCAGGGCTTTGCATGATATATGATTATTTCATGATGAATATTTAAGGCCTAGTGGCCTGAATATACATGATTATTATGATGATACAAAAATTTGTACAAAAGATATAAGAAAAAGATAAACTGGGCAAAGACATTAAGACTAGTTACGATGTAAAAGACATTTAAGGAAAGTCTTCAGTCCAAAAGCCAGAGTACACTATGGTTTCCAATCATACCATGACAAATGCTATTAGGAGCACTTAAGTCTTATCAAGTTGAAGAAACTACAAATCATACAACATATATTTTTTGACAAAATTGAAGTGAACTAGAAATCAAAAGTAAACACAACTGTCCTAATACAAAATATGTCAAAATTAAATACACTCTTAATGCATTCATGCTCAATTGTCAGATGATTTAAAACTGTTAAGATGTCAATAATATCCACAGTGATATACTAATTTAATTCAATGTCTATAATGATCCTATCATACTTAGGACCATTTGTAGGACCTTAGGACCATATTTGAAGATATATAAAAATATATTCAAAAGTATATTGGAACAATAAATAGCCAGACTGTTTTAGAAATACAAACAAGGAGACATACCAATTCTTGATTTGAAAAAAAATCTTCAGGAACAAAAAAAACATGTTACTGGCCCAAAGACAAATAATGAGATGAGATATACGAATGGAGAACTGCAGAAAGAAACGCTTTTTGCCATGACCAAAGTTATGGTTCGCTGCCAAGATTAATACAATGACCATGCAAATAAAGAACGAGTAACTTCAAAAATGTGTTAGAAAACTGAATATTTCTGATAGAAAAAAAAATGATGTTGGTACCTTCACTATATAACGAATATAATATATCTTTAAAAAAATACTAAACATAAGAATACAGGATACAATCTGAGAAAAATTAGAAAAACATCATGATAGCTTGGTCCTGGCACTGTTTTAGTAGATGTAACATGCAAATGGCAATATCAAGAAAAGGAAGAGAAAAATGGGATTGTATACAAAGTTCCAAATTTTATGCACAAAGGAAACTTTAGTGAGTAAACAAAGGCCTCCTAGAAAAATTGGTTAAAAATAGATGCAAATCACATATTTATAGAAGTTTAACATCATGAATCAGTAAAATGATAAAAATTCAAAACAAGTGAACGTACTAACAATGGACAATAGATTGATTGGCATTTCTGCAAAGCAGCATATACTTATGCGCCAAATATATTTTGAAAGCCATCTAATAAAATGTTAATCTTTTAGAGAAAAAAATGCACAAACAATGACAATGATATATCACACAACACCCATACATTGAGAACTTTAGTAAATAAACCATGAATGCAGATACATACTCATGGACAGAATGTACGAGAAATTGAAATGCTACTATGTTATTCTGATTCTTTGATT